TTGTCCGGAAGACTTTGAATTTGTCCGCCCAATGATGACATAAAGCAAGTCACACTCCTTGTCATAGCTCCCATGCCAAGCATGTAGCAACATCGCTGAGCAGTCCGAGATGTGACCGTCACGGGCGGCCCTGGTCAAAGCCATGCACCTCGGCGAAGGACCGGGTGGAAGGGTTAGAATGGGTTAGATGCCACTGCCACAAGGATGGCACCCGGGCGCAACATGGATTGGGACTGGATTCCAAGATGGTGCTACAAAATGTGCGACATCAAATCACTCTAATTGCAGCGGTATGCAACCCTTTGTGAGCAACCTTTTGGAGAGCTTCCTAAGCATTTTGGGGGACGGTGCAATCCTAGCCTGCATATTCCTGCATTAAACAGGCTCGGCAAAAATCCATCGCAAGTGGATGGAATGGTCAGTAGCAGCTCTTGAAATTGCCTCCCACTGCTTTCGTGCACGGGTTAAGAAATGACAAATTGAATCGAAAAGCATAAACTTCGTGTTTGGAATGGAGGGGCATCTTGCATGCCAAAGATTTGTCCAGAACTTAGCATATTTGATCATATTTGCCAACATATTTGCTGGAGGCATGAGGCAAATATGCAAAGTTCATGACTTGGAGCAACTTTTGCAGCATCAGGTACATATAGACACAGAAAGCTGTGTGAGAAACATGGCAATATATGCAGGAATGGCGAGCAAATCACATGGCCACTGGGCACCTACAACCTACCCATCCACCGGTCACGTCTTTCTTCCATTCGGTGCACACAATTCTTCGGTCTCTGGTAGGCAGGTGGACACTTGAGACCTGGTGGTGCATGAGTAGTGAATTGTTCTTACCCAAACGCTCATGGGCCCTCATACCTGTGTGGTGCGGTGTACCGAGCGATGCACAAAAGGTACACGGAGCGACCCCCTTGGGATCTCACTTCTGACCAACTCCCCAAACACTTTCACCAAACCTTGGCAGATTTAGAGTGACCCCCTTTTCAACCACCTCAACTGATCGGTTATGCCAGACCCAAACAGCTCGTGTCTGGCCAACGCGGCCAACGCTTCTCGGCCAACGCGGCACGTCTCTGGACCACGCACCGGCCAGCGCTTGACCTCAAAGCCCAGCTCACGAGCAATACCTCAAAGGTGTGCGTCCGAATCGGGTCATTCAGGCACCAAATTAGGTCTTCCCCTTTGGGCTCCAGGAGTAGTATCACCATGTATTACCTAGGGTTAGTACCCATAGCTTACTGCTCCAGCAGCCATATATGGGCGTGCCGAAGCGAAGCGAAGGTATGACTGGACCTTGCTGGCACCCTCCCCCAGTCCCACTTTCTCAGAAGGTACGACTGGAGCATACTGGAGCCCTAGGGCTAAATATCAAGGGACACAAATGTATACTGTACATTACTGTACTATCATGGGCCCGCTGACAATACCGATTTGTCAGCATTATCAAACACCATAATGTTTGATATTGTTTGCGGTTGATTCATCCAACCAAGCAGCGGGCCAGGAGCTGCATGAAGGATCGATTGGTGAGCTCCTGGAGTGTGTCAGGCCAAAGGATGGGAAGGATTGGTAGAGGGTCGTCGCAAAGTTGCTTGCCATGAGGAAATCCACGAATGGGGATGATCATGGATGATCTATATGCATCTAGACCTACAAAGGATGTTTTGCAGTTCTTGGTGCGTTTGTAGTCACTGACTTTGTGAAGCATCAAAGTCGATTTATTGCTCTTAGGTTCCCACCGTGGTAGTTGTATACCTATACTGTACGGACGATCGATGCAAGTTCACGCAAGGTCCAGTACGATGATTGGCCCACAAGTTGGTTCTACAGCCTCTCCCAGAACAGGACATCGTCAAAAAAAACATGTTGCAAAAAGGGAGCACTCCCAAACACAATCGGCCAAATCATGTCCAAAAGCAACCCCTAGATCTATCTATATCTGAACCAAGTGCGTGCTCAGAAGGTATTTGGAGGCCTAATTAGAAGGCATCCACCCCCAGAACACCATCTCAGAAGCACTAGGGGAAGCCAACCCACTAGCCAATCCATATTAAACACCATGACTCATCACGAATAAATTTTGAGCTCAGTGAAGGGGTGTGCGGCATCTCTTCCCATGCACCGCCACGGGCTCCTCACCTTTTTTGCAGCCGAGGGGCGCAGCAAAGCGGCGTCTGCGCACTCATGCGCCGAGTTGCTTCCCGTAGCTCCGGTGGCAAGCTGCTGAGGTCCTGGTCTGCATGGCTAAGCCGTCGCCTCTTCAAAATAGCCCTCTTATGATGGTAAAAATCAACATATCTTCAACACCAACAAAATGCACGACTTGGATTCTGTGAGCCCAACCAGGCTTTTGGTACTCGCTTGACGTGAGATATGGCAAGGTAGACATATGGCTTGTGGATGGACTTGCGATCAACATCTTGGACGGGCATAAGCGGCTCTTGGCATGATAGGGGCATTGAATGCTTTGCCTGCACCGCTCCACACAAAAGAGAGGACATAAGCCTTGCATGAGTGGCCTTCGATTCAAACCAACCAATTTACAAAGCAAATCCCCTTGGACATGTGATGTCTGATGGTGATCGTTTCCACCTACATGCGTTCCCACACACTTGCCTCTAGGGGCAAGAGTTGTGCCCCCATCTTTTATCACGCATGGTGGGGTAAATCGTCAAGAAACACTCGCTTGTCTAACTCTCAGCTATCTCCACCCAAGCGGTGAACAGCGTAGTCCTCGTTGCACTGCCAATTGGTGCCTTGGCAAGTCAGACATCCGTCGAAGAAAGGTCTCCAATCTCCAACAGCACTTGACACCTTCAAAGGTCGTGATTTTGAGGAAAAGCAGGTTTCCGGCTGTTTAATTGGACAAGAGGAAGCCACTCCTCGAGATGAAGCCACAGCCTAGGATGCATCTTCCGGTATTGTTTGCCCTTGTCTTCCACCAGTTTTCGATCCACAGCTTTTATTGCATGTTGATCGAGAAAGGGTCATGGCTTACGTATGCTCACGTAGTCATCCCCAAACCCAAAAGGTGACATGTCAGTCACATGGTCGTTCACGCAAAAGCCCCAGGTCTGAGACGAAGGATGATCGGTCTGAGGACACAGTTTGATATGGACCAAGTGGTCGAGAGTCGAGACCTGTATGATTCTTAGGGGCTCTCTGATCTGAAGACAACGCACCAGCACACCCAATACCATGTTGCTTGCCAGTTGCGACATGTAACCATCAACCCCAATGAACATGGGCTTCCCTAATCCAGGGTGAGCCGGGCCTGATCCGTCCAGACCCGGGTCCGCTGGGCCGCCGGATCGACCAGTCCGCTTTCACCGAGTGGCTGTAGATCAAATTGAAGACACGCTTCCGGCCCCTCAGGGGCCTCCTTGGCATCACTCCACCGATCTCAAGATCAGCCACATGCTTCGACGAACGACCAAAAGAAGTACAGTGCACCAGCGGACATCATCCGAATTCTCCGTTAAATTCAAAGCTACGACTGCACATCTTTGTGGAGAACATGGGGGGGGACATCCACATGCCAGGTGTGAAGGTCTGCCGTTTCTGGAACCTAAACCGCCGACTGGATGAGCACGGTTCCATTCGATGAAGCAGGTGCGAATGGACACCCACACACCCATGTCTCCCAAACACTACCCCTTTTCAACCCAGCCAACTAACTATTACCTCTATATATAATCATTAAATAATACAATATAATATATATATATAGGTTTAATTATACTTGTAATTATATGTAATTATGTAATGATAATAAACTTAATGAAACTTATATATAGTTATATATATATTATATATATATAGTATAGTACTCCTATCATGGACTGTCTGGGGTTCCATCTTCAGCCTCGTTTCGGCACTTCCACCTTGGTCGACTTCGTGGACCTTCCGCGCTGGACGCGAAGGACCTTGCGCTCCTTCGACTTCACCATGGCACCGAGAGCGGCCGACGCGAAGGAGATCCCCCAAGTAACCGACGCGAATCGTTGAGAGAGCCGACTCGAGTCGAGGTGAAACAACGGCTGTAGACTCCAAAGAGTTTCAGTTCGGCGATAGGATCTTGACTGAGGTGTACCTGAAAATGATCCTTCAAGGTCTTAGAAGGCCGCTACAAGATGTGGCTTCCTATGGGCATATTCAAGGGATGCAACATGCTTCAAACCTTGGCCCAAGCTGAATAGGCCTACCGGTTCATCCCGAGGTCCTCTGTCTTTGGAGATCTCCCAACATTTGGCCACTTTGGGCCAACTGAACTGCTTCGACGGCTGAGCAGTCATGGATGCAGTTGCGCCAACAGTAGGGACCCCCGGGGGCCACTGGAGCCTTAGGGTATACCTTTAGAGGGTGTTCTGCCTCTTTCATTTTAAGGTTTGTGACATCTTGTGACTGCTATACCGTACGACGATCCTCTACTCTACGTATGCGTCCTTCTTTCAAAAGAACCCCCAATCAGCAACAATGCGTTTCATGTGTGTGTCTAACAGTTTATCACGCTTCAATCAATGCTTAGCGGCGTGGCCTCCTTGAATGTTTGCCAGGAGGATGCCTTTAAAACAGCTTGGTGTTTACGCAGTCTACAGTATCATATACCTTCCATTGCGCGTTGCGAGTCAAGACTCACCAACCAACAGTGAACGGACCAGTCACCAGTGAGCTTAGTAGGAGACTGAGAAAAGACCCCGAATACATCCCAATACCTATACTCCTTCTGGTTCTCCTCACCCAGAAGAATCAGTTGACAAGGTCCGCTGCTGCATTGTCAGGGTTCCAAGATGAAATGCGGCAAAACTCTTCCAAACTCTTCCAATCCAAGCCTTCGAATTCAAAAATATTCAAACTTCTTCCCACAGACCTGGTGGTTCTCCCCCACAAATCTGGTTTAACTCTTCAACCACCACTCTATGCAGGACTCCTTCCCACGGTTGTACGTCTCCGGCACGTCTCCGCTACCTCCGCTGGGTGCCCCAGGCATGGCTAAAGGTGCCCCCGCCCGCCAGCGAGAACCAAAACTCAAAGGATTCCTCATCAAACGGGCAAGCGATTCACTCCAAAAAGGGAAAACACACACACACACACCTCGTCATCGGGCGCGTTCTCCACCATCTCTCCCCAAGAAACGTTGAACATTCCAGTGCATCATGTCCAAGAATGGGGAGATGGGGAAGAATGAAAAGGCAAAGGGATCTATTTTTGACCAACTCGTTGAGTCCAACACTCCATCAACGCTTTTCTATGCTCACAATTGAGAGGAAAAAGAACACACACCAAGCACTTCCAACGGGTGCCCTGTCTGGAGACCTGTAAGTAGGGCATACGGTAGTCTATTGGACCCATTGGATGACCCTGGCAAACAAACATTCGGTCACTGAGTACTTCAGTTCCGCATGGCTGTGTGGCACTGTTCCATCTCATGGCGTGACACCCAGCGACTCGATCGTGTCACAGACCGGCGAAGGGAGCGCGCTGTGCAGGAAAGGAACGGTTGAATCCGACTGAAAAGGTCACCACAGGGCTGGGCCTTCTCAAGTCCGTTGGTGTGTGGAAAGCCATGCAGTTTTCTCAGTCAAAGGTATTCAAACATGGTCTATGAGCAGCAGCTCGTGGGATATTTACACATATATAAGCACATGCTGCATTGCACTTTGTTCATTGCCTCCTGAGGGGTTGCACCGTACATCGTACCCTCCCATCACATGGCCCACTTGGCGAAGGCACATTCGCTTCCATGCGGTTGGCCAAACTCTTCTCCTTGGCCCAGCGGGGCGCCGTGAGTCGACTCTACAATGGGCCCCTTCCGTGGGCATACAGTAACATGGCATAACATAGCACCAGCACAGCACGTGCGAAAAAACAACAAAAAAAACGAAAACAATTCGTCGTAGGTCCTCTGGAACAATCACGTGTTGACAGCCACTGGAAAACACAAACTTGACCACCAACCGGTGATGTTCGCGTGTTGCAGTCCTTTCAGCCAAATGCTAGGCTCAAGGTAGAGGTCAAAAGTAGCAGGCTAGTGTATTCGGACACCTTGCCACAAGAAATAGCAATCTTAGGCACCGCCGAATGCCAAGTCATTTCAGCTGTTTAGGGCGCTAGGGAGTGACTCAATTGTGATGAAAATAATATGTATATATATATATATGTGTGTGTGTGTGTTGATATATGTTCAATTGCAACACTCTACATCCAGCGCCCGCTCGCAACATCGCTGCAAAAGGAGGCCCCCCCGGCCGCTCCATGCTCCGCGCACTCCCGATCCTCTCCGATCTCCGGCGCGCCGGCCGCGCTTTCCGGGGGCCGGGGTTCCCGACCAAGAAGTAGGGTGTGCGCCAATGCTTTTGAACCTCGGTGTTTCGAGGCTTGGGACGGAACCTCCATATGAGGCAGTGCAAATCAATAATCCTTGGTTTGAACATGGAGTGTCTTGGATCCATGTTAAGCGCGGAAAGAGAGGGCCACTTGGGTGCCAAAGTGTCACAAGTTTGGGTGTTAACTTGGGTTATCTATATCCCTAGGGCTCCAAGTACCTCCTCAAATGGTTTTTGGACCCTCCAAACCCACCCCAAACACCTTCTCAGAAGGTACTTGGAGCCCTAGGGTATAGGTAAAAAAACATATATATATATATATACAGTAACTTTGATGTTTTGTGGGCCCGCGCTTACCACACAATCCTGCTTTGGGAGGCAAAGGAGCTCGAAAGAAAAGGAACCCTGGGCGCATGGATCATGATCCACGTGAGCAGCTGAAAAAACCGTTCTAAAATCATTATCCTAGCTTGAAATCACAGCAATTCCAAGCGGTGGCTGTCATGTACCCAACGTGCCGTGTATATGGTTGTATGTTGTGCATAGCCCTTTTAACAGCTGCATTCTTATACTTACAGAGTCCAACGGTTCCAAATGTGCAGCTGAAAGTAGACGTCCGTTACACCCAGAAGCAAGTTGTCAAAATATGGTTGATAGTTTTTGTGTATGCAAAACCCCCGCCTTCATGCGGGACGTCATGCAGCCACGTGCAGCCCACTCGCTTGTGTGTGTATGTCTGCAGTAGTGGGAGTAGTAGGCCCTGGAAAGCACTTGGACAAGTGGTCAAAGTTGCAAAGGGGTCTAGCGCGGATCTAGCGCGCTTCCAAGCCAGTGCCTGAGGCCACCAAACGTCTGTTGATCTTATCTAAGTTACCTAAGTACTTGACCCTAGCGCCAAGCCTAGCGTAACCCTGCGTTTTGCTAGCGCGACAAGGTAACATATCCAAGTTAAACAACAGAATAACAGAATACCAAGCGGTGGCCAAGCTGTTTCTGAACCTGTGGGAACCTTCCTTACTTAATACATATTACCTTTTTTGTTCAACTCATGTGGTGTTTGGCCCATCCCTGTTCCATCCTGCCGGGCACAGCGAGCACAGCTCCAGCTTCGGTCCGAAGCGAATTCCCTGCAGCATGACGTGGTGAAGGCCCAGCAACTGAGCGCTTGGTCTTCAAGGGCTCTTCATCCTTCACCTCAGCAAGAGCATGGGCTCTTGGAAGAAGAAGCCACGAGTTCAGTGTAACAACTATGAGAGAAAAGAGGGGTCCTTGGTTGCCAGCCTCCGAACGGAGTTCCATGACAAGGTGGCTTTTTAATGTTGGTCCTATCCGGTGAGTGGATGCTCTGGACTCTGTTCGGCCCCCCCCACATCGAACGAAATGGCACTGCTGATCTAGAGGTCTCCTCTGGATTCCTCGATATATAGAATGGTGCAACTCCACTTCATGTCATCCGATTTCTTCGAGACAAGGACCCTGAAAACCGTCGACCGGCCCACTTTCATCAGGATCCGGCACCGAACACACCGACCGCATTGCAATTCTGCGTCCAAATCCGGCCGCGTGGCGTGCCAAATGTAGGGCCCCGCAATCTTGCGCCTTGGCTAGGATCGTGGAAGGTTTGGAGAAACTGGTCGTGGAGAAACTGGTAGTCAGCCAGGGCCCTTCCAGCCAGGACGACTTGAACTGGAAAGCCCTTGATCTGAAGGCAAGGAAGTACCACTGGATAAAGGTGGCGCCAGGGAGAAACTTGGCCGCCATTCCGTGGATGTTTGAATCGCATAGCACCGGAGCACATGCGGAGCAAACTTGTAGGAAAATGCCTTGCTATCTTCATGGAAGCTACGCATAGGTTTTCCTGGATAAGAATTCAGGATAGGGAAAAAGACCTCATATGACTCATATGTATGTCATAGAATCAAGCCCCGAAGATGACCAAACAAGCTTTCCCCACTTCAAGAACATCAAACCTGGTGCCCAGCGCGTTGCGGCCCCCACTCGCCTTCCTCCCCAGACCGCAGCACGAGCTCACAAGCGTCGCGGCGTCCGAGTGCCCCCCACGATCCCGCCATGTGTTCTTCGTTCTTCCGCTGCGGGTGGACTTTGGTGTACCAATCCGGGTCCTGAAAGCGGCTACGCGGAGGAAGTCCCGTCGCCGAGGTGAGGCGAGGTTTTCAGTGGGTGCGGGGGAGTGGATGGTTTTTGGGGACACGGTTTTGCAGCAAATCAGTCCTTCCTCGCCCCCGCACCTGTGGAAGGCCATGAGTCAATGAGCATTTGGGTCATTGCTTCCAGGGGTGCCGCTGGGCATGTGAATCAAGGGGCTGGCTTAGGGGTAGCCAAGGGGTTAGTTGTCTATTTGTCCCGATTGTGTCTGAGAGTCTAGGTCAAGCAGTACGTCCCCCAAAACGTTTCATCAATTGGGAAGTGTGCGTGCAGCTTCCCATCAACACCTTCCGCTCAGGATGCCATGATAGTCCCATATCATGCTTCTTTGGGATTGGTGATCGCTTCTTTGGACGTATGTTCCACACCAGCGAAACGTGCATGTTCTTTCTCGCTCGAGCATTTTCACAGGCCACTGGAACTGCTGCGCGCGAGCGGCTCGCAGCTCGCTGGCCAAAGCCGGTGTGACTGGGCCTATTGATCGAAACCCCTCTCGCTGATCTTGTCGCCGATCAGTTGCCAGTACTCCGCAATGTCCATGTTCTTAGCAAGATGTCGACACGTGCAATGACACGATGCAATCGGATCATGTCGTGATCTCGTGCTCTGGATCTCTCATGGCATGCTTAGTTCAAGGATTTTGACATGATTTGACGTTATGAGCTTCTCGCGATCTCATGGATCTCATGACATTGTTCATCTATGTTCTATATATATAGTTCATTGCATTCAGCCGGCGTTCAGCCTGTGATTTGAGAGTGCAATCTCTGAATTTAATCGTGCCTACGACCGCCCAGCGTGGGCAGAAAAGCAGGGCGAAAAAGGATCATCGTTTGGAGGTCGTGCTGATTTCAGCCTGAACCCCCCTGAAAAGCATTGTTTGTTGTCAAAAACGATTCGTGGGATACACCTGGCATAACGATCTGTGAAGAGATGTGCCACCAATACTATGAAAATCAAGAAACTCGGACTCGGATGTCTTCGTCCAGCAGCCACGCGATTGAGGCCCCCGGCCACACGAAACTGTGGATGCAATTGAGGCCCCTTCTGGCGCCACCACATGTAGGGCAGATACCACAAATAGCCAAAAAACGCTCAAGCCAAGCCTAAGCGCTCAAGCGGTGGTGGTGGCAAAGACCACTTACTCAAACACCTCATTGTTCTGTATACAACAACTCGATTGCCTACCATCGCAGCGACTAAAAGAGAGTGATTGGACACTAGGATCTCGTACGGTCCTCCTACATCACCTACATCACCTGAGCTTGTGATTGTATGCGGTGCTCTTTGGAGATGTCCAACGATGGTGCAGGTTTTGTTCTAGCGGGGGAAACTCCGACAAAATGAAACTCTAAGCTGCTGAAACATGATGACACCTGTCAAGCCTGTCAACTGGTTTTCACCCTCTGAGCTGAAGGGAAGTGACTTCGATAACCGAGAAGTGTACCACACAGGGGCGACCATAGCCATTTTTTAGGGAAGTGACGTAGGCAGCGGCAGAATCAAACCCTCGGGCAACCGCCGGACTCGGCTCTGGCTCTTCGCTCGGCGCCTGGGTGTTTCGGGCCTAAAGACCTGGACAAAAACAACAAAACTATTACAAATTCTTTTGTTTTTGTTGTTCTTGTTGTTGTTTTTGGAATGTTGGAGCAATTTGTTGTTTTGGAATTTGTAGTATCCATGAACCTTAATTCCAGATCCACTGGGATACGACATGTTGTGCGTGTTTCGGCAGCACTTGCATCTGCCCTTCGTCCTATTGGGTGACTGTGATCGCTTGCACCTTCAACAGGGACAGCACGACGGCCCCAGAGCGAGCTCCCTTTTTCTCGATGCCGCGACGGGCTCAGCTTTCCCAGAAGCGCACCGGTGGATCGTTCAATGCCTGGCCGGGTTTTACGAGATTTCATGAGAGCCATGGATCTTCCGAGAGGTTGAGGGACCTGAGCTTGAGAGCCCCGAACTTGCAGTACATGGGATCTGCATTCCATATATAATCCCATTGATCCTGGACCCTTTTCAAAGGTTGATACGTTCGTGGGACGTATGATTGTCAAGGGCTGTTGGAAAAAAAAACACTCTAGATCATCTTCCGAAGTCGGACAAACCGCCCCGATGACTGAACACGAGACGTCGCGCCGGGCGCCCGGAGTTCCAGGGCAGGACTATGTGAAAAAAAAAACGTCTGCGTTCACCTCAGCGATGTAGACATCAAATGACATACAGTAAAAATGATGTATGATATATACACATGACACAAATCTTCTCCAAAACCAGATTCCTGCTTCAAACCAATTTGGCATCGCCCTGTGGTTTTTGCCCTTCAAAGCCGGGGCATGACAGATCAATCGCTCGAAAACACTTCATCGTCCACTCAGCTGGAAATGTGAACGGACCCATGGCCCATTTGGACCCTTTCGCCTTCCAAGACCGGTGGATAGGTGGATCGGTCGTCTGACATTCCGTAGGAACAAAAGAACAAGGGTTGCTTGGTAAGAACCCATTGAACCAATGGCGGTTGCATCTTTTGGAGGGACACCTTGGTGGAACACATGCGACGACATGCCAATGTATGGTGACATAATCCCAAGTGAAAGGTACTGAAAGGTGAACAAAAACGACCCATCGTCTCATGTTTCTCTACAATACATCTTACATCAACCATGAATTCTGCAGTGTGCTGGGCTGATCAACATGTTGCCTTTCATTTGGTTTTGGTTCCTTTTGCGGGACACAACATACCTTGGGATAAGAGATGGGCCTATATATAGTGTGCATCATGCGTTCAGGTCTCTGCTTTTATCTTCTTCTCCCCACGTCCGGTGCTTGCCGATCTTCCCGTCTCCTCCAAGGGCGCCACGATGAACTCTGCCGGGGGATATTGCGTGGTCTCCGGGATCCGGTACTCGCGGCCGTGGCGCCGGAAGTTGCTGCGGATTCCTCGGCTGGGGCGATGGGAGGCCCGCGCGAGGATGGGAGATATTTACTTTCGGTTCCACGAGTGGGGCGAGGGTGAAGAGGGTGAAGAGATACTGCGCTCTCATCGTGGTGCCGTGCGCATTTTCGGACATGGTGGCCACTTTTCGTGGCAGGTGCAAGGGAAACCACGTGCTTGGTGGTCCGTCACTCACTCACTCACTCACCTACCTCACTGACTCACTCACTCACTCACTCGCTCACTCACTCACCTACCTCACTCACTCACCTACCTCACTGACTCACTCGCTCACTGACTCACTCACTGACTCACTCACTGTAACTCGCTTACTGTCACTCACTCGCTCACTCACTCGCTCACTCACTCACTCGCTCACTCGCTCACTCACTCGCTCACTCATTTGCTCACTCACTCGCTCACTGACTCACTCGCCACCGCCATCACCACGATCTCCACCTTCATCACCACCATCACCTCTCTGGACCCCAATGCGTCTAGATCTGTAGGCTTTCTGCTGCTACACCTCTAGACCTCACACACACACACACACTGTTTGGGGTCTCCTGCCGGATAATCTTTCACACCAAGTTATAACATGTGCCTTTCTGACCAAACGGGTGGTTTTCACTCCGCTAAGCCCATGATTTCGAGGAGTGTATTCGCGGTGTCCACTTCGTTTTCTACCAACCTGTTCATCCTGTCTGCCACCATGGGACGGTCCCGGATGTCCACGGGATGATCCCAGTTGGTCTCTCTGCGAGGCTTGTCTGGAGGCCTCAGCTTTCAAACAGCAACAGCAACACTCCACATAGATCCATATAGGGCATCTTTACCTACATTGGGCTAGTTGAAAGGGGTCAATGTAGGTTAGAGCTCAGTCCCAACAGTGGGTGTCTGGGAAACAAAAATGCGCGCACAGCCAATAAAAGGACGTCATGTAAGGAAACCTCGCTAGTAGCTTCTTGTTACTATGCTTGTAGGCCTCTTGTTCAAAGCAACGTGGATCTTCCGCCGAGGAGAAGTGTGTTCCCAGTTTTTGAGCCAGAGTCTCCGAAGTCTCCCAAGTTTTGAACGTGGAAACCAGCTTTCGAAGGCAAATGAAGTCTAAAGCAGCACCACAACTGCCTTTGAGTCTCGACTCGGCAGCTCTGCTTTCAGGAGGTTTCCTTTCCTGGAACACCTACTTACTTGAGCTTTTTGGCATGTTTTTGAGTTCAGGGCCCCAAAAGGCTTCCCCAAGACAGTGGACGGGATGATTGATTCAACGCATGAAGTAAAAAATCACCAACCAAGTCCACAACCCACGGCTGGGTGGTCCAATAAGCCTCAAACAAGTGCATTGGTAATTAGGGGTTCCTCAATCGATGTCCCTCCTCTAAGGGGGGGGTTGTCCTGAAAAAACCACTGGAAAAACAGGTCTCAGGTCTCCAAATCCTCACCCTTCTCCCCCACAGCAAGCTGCAAGTCGTGGCGCAGGAAGGACCTTGGAAACCAAGGTGGCGAAACAAATCAATGAGTCACTAAGGCTTCATGACATGGTCAGTGGATGTAAAACATCTGCGATCTGGATTTCTCGCAAGAATGACACTTGGAGCAAACGATGAACCACTGGAAGACTACGAAAAGGTGGTTTTCAGGTAGAATTCGCGTGTTAGTGAGAACAGCTCTGGCCGAGGTTTTTAACATTCAACCAACAACACCTCCACACCCAGGACAGCTGGTAGGATGCGTGTCTTCTGTGCCTTCTCCATACCAAGGAAGGGCAACTGAGTTAATTCGAAAACGAGCGACTTCGTCAGTCCCATGTGGTCTCAAGATCGCTCAAGATCGATCTGCAGGATCGGCGGAGATCGCCAGACGCGCGGGGATCCATGAACTGCAAAAACCGGTCAGAAAACCGGTCAGATCTGGCCAAAACCTGTGGAGTCAGGTTTCGGGCGAACCCAGTCACAGGTCCACCATGGACCAGTCGTTAGCTCCCACCTCTCAGCTGAAAGACTCGACGTCCAAGAGACTCTTCAGGCTGAAAGAGGATGAAGCAGGACTCCTGGGGACAATGGATGGTTGTTCAGCTTCATCCTACCAAATGAAAACCTCCTCCAAATGTAGACTGAAGACTCTTGATTCATAACCCCTCCATATGAAGAGGTTGTTCAATTCCAATGGGTGCAGGATGGTGCAGGTTATTCATCAAGAGATGTCAAGAGCCTACATGACTCCTCCAAAGACATGTTTTTCCTGTGCCATGCTGTCGCGCATCATGCGATTACACTCTGACTCACTAACATGGAAGCGGAAAATGGGGCCCTGGAAGACCACTCTCCTCTACAAACAGGAGGTTTTTCACTTCCATGTTAGTGAGTCAAAGTGTATCATTCTTGGACAAGTTGCCGGATGTTGATTGAACTGGTACCGCGGGTTCTCAGCCCCGTAGCAGGGAGCGAAGCTGGTCACGAAGATGGGCTCTCGAGCGAACCTGGTCTCGAACGAAGCCCACGCAAATGGGTCCGAAAAGACCAAACAGCGGGAACAGGACTGTGACCTTTTTTGATCTCCTAAGTTTGAGGTCACAGGTCACAGGTCGGGGCTCCAAAATGATCACTTTGACTCTCGAGGATGTTCCCAGAATCTCTGCCAACGCGGAGGAAGATGAACACATGCTACATCATATGCTGCAACACCTGTTTGACAACTGTGTGACACTACAGTAGTACCTATCTTCTCCCCATTCACCAGTTCCAAGTCCTCCCATTCTCCATCCACCATTCTCCTTAGGACTCTAGGCTCCCGCCAGGAAGCTGGAAGTACCATCCTCGTCCTGGACAGGACATGGGTGGGTAATCAGGGGGTGACGAGCTCCAGTCATGACAGTATCAACGCGGGGCAACTTGGACGTGTTGAGTGCCCCAATGATTCAATGGAGATCCACAAGTCGTGTTGAATTGAGTGAACCGTTGAAAGGACCATTGAGATCCATTGGGGTTGTTATGGCCCAAGAGGTGTCGCAGGTCGTAAGATCAAATTGGTGTGAATTTACCCATTGATTGACTGGACACAGGAGGCTCCCCTGTCTCAAACTCACCTAGCTACCCACTTGCTGCAAGCATTGCTGCACCAAAGATTGACCTGTGAGCAAGCACATTGGTAACAGGTGGTTGCTGCGGTGGTGACTCCAATATACAAGATCAAACGACCACATCTCACTTGCCCAGGAAAGATCTTTCCAATCTCAGAACCAGCATTTATGATGCACTATGTATACAAACCACACTGCTTGATAAAAGACACATAAAGCAGTCCTGTACCATCCACGTTGGTAGATGTGTGCCTCTGCCTGCTAGTTTATGGTAGTTAACTTACCATGGTTTCGTTTTCATTCCAGCACTTCAGCATCCAAAACCAATCAACCTCTGACTCTTTGTTTCTGCCGTTCGATGATCGGAACGCTGTCCGATGTCCGGCCCAGTGGAGGGAGCGATCTTCGGCCATTGGATCCCCTTAGTCCCCGCGAGCTGAAGAGCTACCTGCTACCTTCTGACAAGGTGGTTTGGGGTGGGTGCCTCCCCAAAAACGACTCAAATACCGTATATCTTCTCAGAAAGTATCATATGCTTGGAGCTGTAGGGTTCATCAATGGGATTGAACTCGAGGCCTGCAAGAAAACATCACACAAGAAGACCACTGCTATTTTCACTCCAACTGAAAGTCAAACTTCCAAGAATTCCCCCTCCGCCCAGCTCCGCCCTCTGCCCTGCGGATCCTGCCACCTTCCGCGCGAAGCACCGGGCACCACTGGGATCACCGGCGCTCAGCATCGCCAGCAAAAGGCGCACTGTTCGTGCGAAAGAGGTCAGGTCCGCGCAGTACTCACGGCCTTTTCGCAGATCAGCTGAGTGCATGAACCAAAACAGAGGGTCTCTTGGGTTCGTCTAGGTCCTCAAGTTGGAAAGATGGATCCCTCAAATCAAATCCGGCATGTCAACAAATGTGGCAGGAATGGTTGTGGATGGTTGTTGAGGCTGGTTGCGGATGGAGAGCCCAGCTGGTTTATGTTTTTTGCGGGTTTGGGTGTCTTTTCGGAGTTTAGGTCCGAAAGGAGCGCCTTGCAGAATCCGCAAAACATCAGAAAAGCCTATGGGCCATGTTAGGGATTCATGATGGTTCATGTAAATTGGGCTACAGTACCTAGCTAGGGGTGTGACCTGCATCAAATGAGGTGACCAGGATCACCTTGAGGGCTGTTCCCCGCCCAGGGCGTTGTGGTAACTCGATGGCGTGCTATCATCCCCCGCACTTTTTGGACGTACCTAAGGCCCAGCAACGGACGAGTTGATATACGCAAACGCAGGGTTGGGTTGGGTGAGAAGTTTGGCAATTTGCACTTCCTTGGAGGAGTGCAGCAAAGGTTGGTTGGACATGTTCTCAGTTCTTCCTCGACACATGGAAGTCTACTCAATCATTGATGTGGGTAATCATGTCCTCGGTGTGCTGCCGGACTTTGACCATTTCTCGAGTGAAACATGTGAGGCTCCAAGCGCCCTGGTTACTATATTTGTAGGTTGGGGCACTTGTTTTGCTGCTGTGGCAACATGTTCTCTTTGTTGCCTGGATTATCCAACCCTGAAACTGTTTCGCCTGTGCACTGAACATGTTAACAAACAAGTGTAGCAGTTAAAGCTAACAGCTAAAGCAGAAGTTCACCATAATTCACCAACACGTTTTCCATGCAAGAAGCACCACAAAAAGCACCCCCCAAAAAAACACCACATGCAGCACCTCCTTGAACCATTGATCCCACACACAAACACCATTAAACACCACTTGGGGAAGTCTTCCGCCTCGGATCTCGAAGACAAAACCATCCAGCGCCGCTCCGTGCTTCACTTCGGAGCAAAAGCGCAAGAACCGGGGCAGTGCCCTCAGCGGGGTGGGCGCACGTGGCACAGGGGCAGTGCCCACCGTAGCTCGGGCACAAGAATGTTGCCACGTTTCTATACAGCACGTCTAAAAGGTCCCCGACCCTACCACAAAGGTGCTTCTAACAACATCAGCAACAACCAAAACTCCCTTCTATCTTGAGGTCTACATCTACATGGATGGAAAACCCTTATGTTTTGCCGTGCCACCGCTGCACATTGGCCACCAGCAGGGCCTCCGAGGTCACCTCGCAGCCCAGAGCCTCCTGCGCTGAGCGGCGCTGACCCGAGTCATGGAGTGGTGCGCCATCGGTGGAGTCGGAGGCCGCAGGTGGGTGCTGATGTTGGTGTACAGTATGTTGGTGCAAAATACACAGCTTCTTCGGAACAAGAACTTCTGCAAGTGCCACGCCAAAGCCACAAATAGCTGAGATTTTGGGAAACCCAAACGCAAGGCATGCTGAGATTGCCACACCTTTCCAAAAACGGGAAATGGAGAGAATTGGAACACATGTTTTCCTGATCTTCCGACATGTTGCCTCTGCTTCGGCCCAATCGTTGCCCCAAAGCAGCGCTTTAGATGCAAAAAGGCACCTCGATGGCAAGCTTCAAAGATCCAACGTCGACTTGCTGAAACTGGGTAATTTAATCTATAACTCACACTCCATGTATGCCATATGTACCTACATTGACCCCCAAAACCACCCCAATGTAGGCATATATGGCATACATGGAGTGTCTGGGTATAACTTTCTATATCCAGAAAACCACCTGTCTGTAGAAAAATAGTTCTCTAGTATTCTCTAGTGGTCCTTTTCAAGTTCTATGTTTGGTTGACCAGTGTCGCGTGACTATAGCGGCTACGGGTTGTCCCGTGGAAGCCAGGTGAATCCTATCAGACTTGTGCAATCTTGGAGCCATCCTGCAGCCCTTTGGTTCAACTCGGTGGCAGGGTGTTGGGATGTTGAAACAAGAAATGCATGAATAACCTGATTTGACATGTATGGCAAAACCACTGTCATTTCCAAGCAACATCCCCCCCTCTTGACAGTATCGAAATTAGGGCATCTATGCCTCCGTGTCTGAAATCATGGGCCACCTTGATTTCCTTTCTTCCAGGATAACCTTATTAGGGCCACCACCATCTCCTGGGCCACCTTTTTTGAGGGCATGTCTTATTGTGTCTTTGTTTCCTTTCTTCCAGGAGGTCTGAGTCTTAATCCTGGAATCCTCCTTGACTCGTTTGTTTCGTCACCTCCTTGGACTGAATCTGCAGTGCTACTTGGAGCAAAGGACAAATGGTCCTTGTTGTCTCCCAAACCTTCATACCTGGATCAATAATGATGAATTTCTGCCTGTTCATCCATAAAACCCGGCCAACGGAAAAGGAAAAAGCAACATGTTGAAAAATCCAGGTAACTATAGGAAGTATAGACCCAACGTGCGGGTACCAAAAAATATCGTCGACTCGGACCCACATGATGGAGCCTGTTCAATTCTGTGTTCGAGACATGTTTGTTGATCTGACCGACTAGATCTCAGGATTGGTGTCAGTCCTGATCCGGTTCCGTTGCAAATCAACCAACTCGCACTTCGTCAGCCCAGCAGCTGCACACGTTGCCGTAGCGCATCAAATCGCTGCACCGCCGCTGCACGAGACCCACCAGGGCTTGCGGCAAAGGTGTCGAGGGTCCAAAATCTCCAAGGGATCCAGTCCTAAGTTGAACAAATCCACGATACTTCAAACGACAAGGGGATTGTGAATTGTGAATGGTAAATATAGCTGGTGGATGCTGGTAGCTGGTGGGTGAAATGTTCTCATGGAAAGAGTGGGTGAAATGCTCGCATGTTCACAAAGGAGTTGAATATTCCAAGAGGTTCCAAGTGTTGTTGGGTGCAAATGTCTGCGATGTGGCCCGCACAAATCCTATAGCATAACACAAGCAAGCGACCACTCACGCGAAACGCGCAGAAGTCGTTCCCACTCACTTTGAGCACAAAGCTGAAGCGGCCATATGGGCAATATGCAATATATATATATATATAAGCCTCTTGTTACTAATAGCGGCTATATAATAGGACAAATGCTACTACTGTAGTAGTAATGCCCCTTGTAAACTAGTATCTTCTTGTTACAGTAGTAGAAAGGCCAGGAGCTACTAGTAGCGCCCTTACTCGTTCGTAGCGATGCGTTTCAGGTGAACGTTGTGGATTGCTGCTCTTGCTCAGTCTTGTTCTGCCGTTCGACCATCCAGGGATCTTCCACGGCCGGGCACGGCCGGCCATGTAGCAAGTGCAAATTACTTCAGGAAATTGAGGATCTTCCGCGGTCTACCAGCAAACCAATTCATCCAAGTCCAAGCCTCCTGCGGTGCCCCAAGTTCTTCGGCATATGCTCCCACGCGTAGAGCCACTGCCACCTCGCGCACAAGGCCCGCGGCACCGCGGTGAAATGACCAGGAATGAAGCATGCCAGATCTGTGCTACTGAACTTGACAAAGAAGGAACTAGTTTAACTAGTAACCAACTTGGAAGCGTCTGCGTGACCTAAGCGACCAGAACCAAAGAGTTAGTCTCAGAAGAACCCCCACCGCTATGGCTTGTTGCGCATCTGTGAAAAACCAAGCCACCCAGCATGGTTATTGCGCATGTTTTTCACAGCGTCTTTTGGGAATGGTAGACTAGCAAGACTGGTAGACTTAGTAGAACACCAATGAGATACTAAAGGTCGGAAAGCAGGAAGGTCGGAAGGTGGAAGTGAGGAGGACACACCCAAAAAATAGGCGGCAACATGAAGGATCTGGAGGTGGTCTTGCTTCAATGGTCTCTACAAATGCTGGCTCAATTGCGTGGAAGAAGCCTGACCGACGAAGAATCAGAGCGGCGAGGAGGCGAAAGGGGGAACCCCAAAAAATGGTCCAGTCGCGTGGTCGAACTGAATGCTTCATTAACACCTTTAATGGTCGAACATGGTCGAACTCTGGGCTTATGGATGCTGCCATGGGATGTCAACCTTCACTGAGATTGAAACAACAAAGCGTGCGGACAGCAAATGACGGCATCTCGGTCGATGCCCCATCGCGACGGCATCGGGCGTCGGGCGAGACGATACGAAAATGCGCGGATCGCAGATCGGCGTGGCGGACGATTCCCCATTCGCCGTGCCAAGGGGAATGTTCTTTTCGTTCGTATCTTCAGCATACTCAAGCACCCTACTACAGGTCACCTCGTTTACTGGAGTTGATCATACAACACTACTCCATGAGCTTTTCAGGACCAGGTTTTACTTAGGTCAGACTGGACTTGTAGGGGCAACTTTTGGGCGATCGTGGCTTCCTCTTTCCTCAGGGATCGCGGCGTCAGCCCGCACGGCGGCATCCAATCCGATCGTCCCTTGACGTGATCTGCTGATCCGATGATCCGTCCCCCCTGCAGATCAAATCCACCTGAAATATTGCCCAAAGACGACCCACGGGACTGCCATTTTTTTTGCCTAGATTGCCCCCCCAAACCCCAACTGATCGGCATATATGGCAGTCCGATGGGTCGTGTCTGTAGATCAACCAAGCTGGCCTGTGATTATAAGTTTAGTTTATAAGTGAGGACCACTCGCGTCATTTGGAACACGGTCGTAGAAAGGATGGGCTGGGCCGGCGGGGTGACCTGGAGGAGTTTAGTTCTTTTGGGCAAGAACACATGTCCACAGAAACATCCCTAGTGGCCCTAGTTTCAACCCAGTTTCACACACCTTCTGACATAGATTGTTGGCCACTCAGATTTCTTTACAGGTTTCCATGTCCATGTAAGTTACATGGACATGGACACCTGTAAAAAATAACAAAAAACTAATTGTCCTGAGTGGCCATCATGTTGCAAACTGTTCGTTATTTTGGCTATGCACGATCTAGCATTGAAATCGTGGATCTCAAGAGTCAAACACTTCGGCCACCATCTTCGTGGCACGTCGCATTGGCACCCGCCGTCTTTGGCGGGATGGAACGTGGCGGTGAGACCAACTGCAATCCCAACAACGAGGTGATCACCATGTCACATCCACACCATGTCACATCCAAATCCACGGGGGAAAACCAGAACCGCCGCGTTTCCCATGGGGATTCTTTCGTTCCGCCATGGGGTGTTCAAGGGTCATTGAAAGTTGGAATGATTCCTTCCAGTTCTTTCACGACTTCTCTCATCGCTGGTCGTTTCTCAGCTTCCGCTGACAGCGCACTTCGGAGCAGGTTCTTCAGGCTCCTTAGGGCTGCGAGTCGGTCCCTGCCGCCCGGCCCATCGCGGTTTTTTCTGGGCCATGGCGGTCCCTAGACGAAGGTGCTGACTGGAACATGGTGGAAGCCCAAATTCAGGGTTTGGATGCACCAAGTCCAGCAGAGTTCATGAATGAACAACACTGTTGATGTTGGGCCACAGGATCGCGTCCAAGCGATACAGGGGAACCCCGGTATATCTAGGGCCTAGGGCATGCTCAAAAGATTGGACATTCTTTTTGAGCTTGGCAAAGCAACCCACAAAGACCTCTGAAATGACTCGACATGACCTTCCTCCGTAAAGACTGGCTGACATAGCTGGCCAATGCCAAGACTCTTTGGCCAGCTATGCTGCAATGCCAGTCCAGCTGCCTCCTTGCTCTTCACGCGGTGCGCGATGTCGGCGGGATCCAGGTTGGCGTGGGGGATCTCGAGTGAGACCACCTGGTGCCACAAGCGCCAGGTCTCAGTCTCTGTCTCTCAGTCAAGGCAAACAAACTGACGAATCTGGTCAAAGAAAACTATATCAACAATGATACACTCCCATAGGTTGCCAAGAGTAGGTAGTGTAGACTCTTGATTGAAAAGAACACACCAAACCTCTTGATCTTCATATGGGTGGTGTTATTCATCAAGAGTCTATAGTCATAATATAACAAATAATGGATGTACAACCGGCACCTTTTTCACTCATTGTAGAAGATTCTTTGATGTGTGGGTCCACGCACGGGCTTTCTGATGCATGCATGCCTAAAGACCAACAGGTCTAGCACTATGTCTAGAATTCAATGAGCACAGGTGTGAACCCAATGAGCACAGGTTCCCATTTGGGAGGTGGAACCCAAATCATCGCAGTGGGAACCGGGAAGAAACGTGTACATCGACCTCCCAAATCATCGTTCCGAAGGCGAAGACATCCACGGTCTCATCGTACTTCCTGCGTTCGAGGAGAAGTTGGGCCGGCAGGGCGTCACCCCGAGGGTTCTCGGCGAACGGCGAACGAACGCATGGTCCAATTTGAGTGTGGAGCATGGATCAGGATTGGCCTATATGGCTCAATCTTTAGCATGTGGCAAAATTGAGAGATACCTAGAGTCTCTGCAAACCCCTTCTCCAGAGATTCCAGCTCTACATGTCTCTGATATCCCCGGAGCATGGGTGGTCCTCTTTTGAAAGAGCTCCGGCGCCATGTATGGTGCCGTGCCTGCCCATTGCATGGACCCCGTGCAGAGTTCGCTGCCTCAGGTGGTGATTTCAACGCGCTCCCTCACATCTCTAGCTTCGAAGTTGTGAACACCTCTACAGTGACTCTACAGTGTGCTTTCAGAGTAGAAATGCACAGACTCCAAGTTGGGTGGTTTGTGTTCTAAAAAGCATTTAAGGGTTTCAGTTTGTGCCATCTACTCTGAAATCCATACCGTCGGTATGGCTCAAACCTTGAGGGTGGCTTGTGGGGGGCATCCAGAGGGTAAAAATCTCTGATGCCAACAAGACAACTACACAACGTAACGACTGGGGAGAGATTGGAGATGACTCATTGAACAACAAACATCGTAAACCACATCCCGGATCTTCTTTAAATGTGCATCAATTTGAGAGGGAAAAATGAACAGTCACCTGAACCAAGTCCACGTGTCGCATGCGCGCCAAGCCGAAATCACAGAGCTTGGCCGTGGGCCGACTGCCTTCTGTCAGAAGTACATTCTGCGACTTGATGTCCTTAGAGGTGCAAAACCAGCCTCTGGACGACAAATTGTTTTGCAACTCATGAAGGGCCAATTGGGTGGGCTTCAGCCCGTTTGGGAGGTCATAACAATTACCCTAATTACTGACCATATTTCGACCGGGTCAAAGTTTGAGAAATTGGTCGTCAAAACCACTCGGGTAGGCAGGTACCTACTCACCCTACATGCCCTACCAAGTTGCGACACAATCGGTATCAATTTCCTTTTGATGTTAGCAACCCCGCTGGACATTTCAGCAGCTCGTCACCAAGCGTGAGACGAATGTGGGCACCAAAACCACTTATATATTTCTTGCATCTCGGGGTCTGTCAGTCGCTTTTCACAGCATCAACTCATCACACGCCTCAGAGATCGGACCGCCGGTTTTTTCGAGACTCGACACGAAGACGTGGGGTTTGACCGCCCAAGAGTCCCGATGCACGACCATCATCGCATGCAAATAGGCCAGCGCTGCTCCAGACTGGCGCAGCAGTGGCAGAAGCACTGCGTGGTCCGTACTTCTGGACCGAGCTGGGCCATGCAAGGCCTCAAAGAGGGATCCTGGGCCGTGTGGACTGGACGACATGTGGACTGGATCCATAGAATGTCTTCCTCTGCTCAAAGAGCTACCAGGGACCAGGACATGTGGGATACGTTATATGCATATGATGCCATATATGCCGCCCCATTGACCCCCCCAAACCACCCCAATGTAAGCATCTATGGCAGTCCCATGGGTCGTGTCTGGCATAACAAAAAACGAATCGAAATTGGGCCAGACTCGACCGCGGAGCGCTGTTCCTCCGATCAGCATACAAAATCCAAACGAGGATCCGGTCGCTGCGGCCCGGTGGATGTGATGTCCTGAACAACTCCAGCACTCCACCAGCCATACAAATCCCTAGGGCTCCTGTCGTACCTTCTGAGGTACGGTGGAACTGGGGGAGCCAGGAGGGTCCAAACACCTTCTGAGGTACTTGGAGCCCTAGGGAATGAAAGTGTTAGGTTAGATGAATATCGGGGTATTGTCCATTGACCGACCGTTGAACCAGGTCATGGGGAAAACAACAATCGATACAGATCGAAATAGTGACCCATTCGGGGGAACATGCTTTACATTTATACATTTATATACATCTTTGATCTTCATACTCTCCAAGGAAAACTCACATGGAACAGGAACCCACCTGTTTGCAAAGGAAAAGGGTCTTCCAGTGGCCAATCATGGCCGAATACCGTCGTTTTATCGGAACCCGCCGAGCCGATGCCGAGGCCGACCGCATCGGCTTCCCGCCGTGGCGCCCCCAGGCACCAGCTCCGTGAGGATGCTCAAGGCCGGTGGAGTTCGACAAACCGCCATCCTTGGAGTGTTATTCAGCAACTCCAGCCAAAACCGTGCTCCTGGAGCAAAGAGGACAAACACCCAGTTCAGGGCAACTGTACAGGTCTCCAAAATAGAGGGTTGTTAGATGTTGTTAGTCACTGTTGGAGGTCGAACCATTGGTGACCTGTGAAGTCGGGTGCTGGCAAGCAAAAGCCAGGCGTCAAGGTCACCACGTGGGGATGCCGCAGCTTGCGCAGCATCCGGACCTCATTCTCGAACTCCGACTTCAACCTGGGTCTAGGGAGTCTAGGGGCTTGTGAAGGTGGGAAGCAGGTAGGGGGAGACAACACGGATTTTAGTAGGTGACTGTTGGTGGCGGCTGGGACTCGGAACTGAAAAGACTACCGAAAGGTCAGTTGGGGAGGCGTAGTCGCCGAGCAGCTCCTCGGTCAGGATGGGGTCGAAGATCTTCTTCAAAGCACACGGAGTGCATTGCCAGGTGGCCACATGCACCGAAGCAAAACCCCCTTGTGCGATCATCTCCTTAAGCTGAGTAGCTCGGGCTTCTGTAGCTTGGGGAGAGAACATGGACACCCCGGCAACCCTCAGCGCTCCCTCCTGAGCAAAAGCTACAGTACTGAGAGTTGTCCCAAGTCACAAAGTGCACCGACTTGAACGATATCTTATCTCCTGTCCGTTCTTCTTTGTGACGCTATGATTGGAGGGTATCTCGAATGATCTCGAAGGACTGCAGGTCACGGTCGCTCAGCCATCGATCGGACCCAAGTCTGCAGGAGGTTGAGGGACCTCATCGAAAACCGACTTAATTAGATTCCAAGAAGCTGGGCCCGACCTATTTGAATGGGAAGGACTTCTTTCGGGTCTGCATCCCTACATTTAGTGTCAGGTCCCACCCCAGGCAAGCTGGAGCCGTCTAAGGATTCAGTAGGGTATCCTCAAAAGAACGACTGGCTGACGCTTTCGGCGCCTGATGCGTCAACATGCGTTGGCTGTCCCATGCTGTCCCCCATGTCCATCGCACGGTATCCGGTCACTCCACTTCTACACAGGTGCTTTGCATGGTAGCGTGGTGGAATCACGTCTTCCTCTCCTTTAAAGTTACGTACTATACCTTAATTGACTATCTTTTTGGAACCCAATGACCACCAGTGCTTGTCTCTTCCCGAAAGAAAGAACATCCAAAAGTTTCTGAGTTCACTGGCTCAGTTTCTCCCACCTGTACTTCGTCCAGTGCGAAGCGCGGCAAACCATCATCCTGAGGGGAAAACATTTCAGATTCAGCCAAGCGCTGGGAGAGCCTTTGCACCTCCTGCTGCAATCCTCAGCACGAAAAAGAGCGACGCCTCCTTAGGTCGTTGGGTCCCATCTGGTTTCAGAGTAGGTTCGAAAACGAAATCACAAAAGGTGATTTATATGAGGATCTCCATCTAAAGGACACGTTCGGCTCTGTGCCATCTACTCGAGCTCTGAAACCACTGAGTCGGTGCATGGTTGTGAGACATGGTGCGATGTAAGGCTGCTATGGAGAAACTGAACAAAGACTCTAAAACAACATACCCGTGGCAATTCTCCCATGTCAGCCCATCAGGAGAAGTATACTTGCACACGACATGACCCCACGTGCACGAATCAATACAGTATGCAGTATGTCACATAATATATAGATCGACTCCAAAGAGTGTCCCTGTGCCCTATGCCTCGTAGAAAAAAGGTCGAACACACACAAAAAGAACAAAAACAAATCAGCACCTGAAGGCTTTGCCTCCCTGAACAGCCACCCACCAAGTCTCGCTTCACCTTCCGCTGGTCGTCGGCCGGAGCGGCCGGATCCTCGGTTCCGCGGCGCCCGCGCGGCGCGGCGTCCTCGCCTCAGCATAGCGGAGCCGGCCGCCCGAAGAGGGCGATGCAAGATCAACAGAATTGGAGCTGTTTCAAAGAATTCTTGGCAAAACCTATATGGTAGAGAGTTATAGAGAGTTGTATGTTATGTTAAACGGTGACATGTTGTACCAATTAATCGGTTCCAATTTGGCATGGCATACCCCATGGCCCGTTTGGGCCGCGGTGACACCTGCTTTGACCAAGTGGCCTGCGCCACTCTCCACGCCCGGGCCTGCAGGCGTGGGCCGACTGCGAGGGGCAGCTGCTCGCTCGTCGTGCTGCAGCCACAGGGGACGAGAGTCCTTAACCGGAGGTGAGGTCGCCTCCAAGCGTGACGAGCTGTCCTCGGCCGTGACGAGCGGCTCTGGTCATTGGAGGTCCTTCCGAGCATTTCATTGAATCACCTACCTGTCTACCCCATCTTCGCAAAACCCACGCTTGGCTGGCGAACATTGGTCTAATCCCTCGCAGGCCACCACCACCTGCGACTTTCTCCCAAAACCACCAGGGTACAAACTGTCTTTGCAACAGCTGTTTTTTCGCACCAGGTTCGCGTTTAAGAGCCGTTCCCGTGCAAACAAAGCTGCCAAAAAAAAAGGATCCCTCCAGCAGATTCACATGAGAAAGAAGCGAAACTCCTCAATAGTTCGTGTTGTACCTCTATTAGGATCCGGTAGCTTTCCTTGTCTATCGAACAGAATCATCACCTGGAACCCAGGACGCCATTGGACCGACCGTGGATTCCAAGCATCTCCGGTGCCAGGCCTTCCATCTTCCCCCACCGAGATCTTCCCCCGCAGCACCCGCCGCCCGCTCGGGGGGCCGGTGGCGCCACCGGTGGGGCGCAGCTCGATGCGTGGCCAATCACCTCCAAACGGAATGGAATTTGAGCTCTCAGTGACATAGATGATATTTCCACAATTGGTCTAAGTCAGTGACCTCCACTATACATATATTCAGGGGTGAACGCAGGTCAATATGCCATTCCCATGGAGTGTGTGGGAAAGAATGGGGTTGATGTTCCAAACACCTGCACCTGCAAGTTGTCCTGTCTGGAGATCCTGTCTGTAGAGTAGGGCAATTTCGTTTGGAGCGACCGTACGGAAGGTGCTGGTATGCAAATGATAACCTATATATACATTTGGATAGTTTGCATGTATCATTGTGGAGCGTTTGGGATGGGCTGGCGGCTGGAGTTCCGGGAGCACTGCGGGGCCTGTGCTGGGGGCTGTTGGAGGTGTAAGCAAAGAGAAAATTGGTGGGAAGAACATGGAGGAACAATGTCCCCCACATATATCATGATAGTTTCTTTCTCTCCGTGACTTGTTAGTCGTGATTGTCCCTGCATAAATTGCACTTCGGGAAAGCATTGGGACCCATGCCTATCCCCCCAAACAAAGACTCGAACTTGTATGGATCTTCCTGTGCCTCAGGTTGCCCAACAGGGCGGCTAAACACGTTCATCACCTTTGGTGCGTTTTTAGTGTTTATCGTCGACTGAGTCTGAGTCGAGTCGTCCGTCGTGACGACTGTGTGTGATTCAGCCGGTTGACCTGACCTCACGTTGAGTGGCGCGTTTCAGTACGTGCTAGCAGGCGAGGCAGTACAAAGCAAATACATGTGAAAACATGTGAAAACGTATCATGCCTATATTAGCCCCTGAAACCACCCCAATGTCGATGTATATATATATATGCCATACATGGAGTGTCTGGGATTAAAAAATATCATGATATGATATATCATATAATTATCATGTATACAAACTTTTAATTCGGGCACACACAATGTTGTCAGATTGAGATTGGGCATCTTCAAAATGCTAAATGTTGATTTTCTGGCTTCCTGATTCAAGAATTTGCATAAAAAGAACTCCAAAAGAAACAGGGCAACTTTGCCCTCAAAGCTGGTGGCTTTCCTTCCTGAGAACCTTCAAGGCGCTCCCGCGCGTGACAAGCTTTCAGGAATTTATAAATGCTCAATACTTCAAAAAGCAGCTACAGAATCATTCCTGATACCCTTGTATATAATCCTTCTGTTCATTCTATAATTCCAAAAGTGTATCTGATTCTGTCTCTTCACATCCGTGCTTCATCATGGTGCCACCGCGGCCGCGGCTGTGCGGCCGCACCTGCGCCGCCTGCGCCACCCTCGTGCCGGTGCACCACGCTCGGCCGCGAGGGCGATGAGGGCGAAGAAGCGGCGGCCTTGGGTGCCGTGATGGCGGTCGTATGGGCATCGCTACGAACGGAGCAAGAAGCTACGAGGGGCACTGCTGGCCACACTACTAGGAACAAGAAGCTACTATATAGATATATATAGGTTGCGAGGCAAAAACGACTCTATTTTGTATGGAATTTGCACTGCAACGCTGGCCAACCATTGATCCCCCAGTGGTAGAAAGCACTGCCCGTAATCGACCCCCAATGAAGGCAAAAGTTGCATATATGGTGTGTCTGGGTTAGGCAATGGTACCATTTTGTATGGAATTAGTCCATTTTGTATGGAATTAGTCATAATTAGTCAATGTTGTATGGAACATTGTGGAATTATTCCGTTTTGTGTGGAATTATTCCAAGTGTTTACAGAATTCGCACTGCAACGCTGGCCAACAATTGACCCTCAGTGGTAAAACGCAATGCCAACAATTGACCCCCCAATCATGGTGTGTCATGGTGTGTCTGGGTTAGGCAATGAACTGCCGTTTCCAATAGGCGAAGCCACGTGAAATCTTGCCCTCCAGCCCCAGTGCAGGGGTCGGCTATGATCAACAACCCCACCACCAAGAGAGTGATGATCACTTGCTCAAGGTTGCGATTTGATCAAATCCCAGGCAGGGTTCAAAAAACATCGCGCCACGATCCTCTATAATATACAAACCCGGTCTTCTGGGCCAATCTGATTAAAAAAAAAAGGCCTGCAATATTCGAATCTCCTCCAAGACAAGTGTGTTCTTTTCATCCATTTCTCGAAAACCCCACTGCCCCCTAAATCCATCCCTTGACCCTCATCCCCCTCCCAGCCCAGAACTCACCTTGCCTCAGCTTCCGGTGCTTTCGGCGGCTTAGCCTCAGCGGCCACAGCTTTCGGTGGCGCCTCCTGGGCCGTCCGGCTCGGTGCCGGTGAAGTCTCACCGTTGGACCCCATCCTGGGCCTGGACCCCTCCCCCCCCCCCCCGCCCCCACGTGTCCACCGACATCCCAAGACAGAACAGGTGGTTTTCACTCCACTAAGCCATGAGGATTTCGGGGGGGGTCATGCCACGTGCAGGCTCTTCCTTATGGCTGTTGCTCAGCTGCACCATGTCCTTGAAGACATGGCACATGCCCTAAACTGAGGGCAACACGCGGCTCACAGGCACGCTTGAGCCAATCACCCCCACTATCGACACCTATGCTACGACAGTCTCGACTTCTCGACTCTTGTATGTTGCATGTAGCTGCTCGCCCCCAGTATGAACCGCCACCGGCCCCGTTTCGAACGGACATGCCGTTTGGGCAGGGACACCGACGCCCTTTCCATGTGCCATTTGGGTCTCCAAAAGTTCCAGGGCTGCCATTTTTCCAGGGTTCCAGGGCTGCGACAGGAGAAGAGACTCCTTCCTCTGGCCCAAGTCTCGTCCTCTGAAAGCTCCTCCTCCTCGAAGTCATCGTCATAGGGCCCTTCCACCTCCTCGCCCTCGCTGGCCATGGCTCCGCGCGGACGCCCCGCGCCCGCCGAACTCCCGCGCGTCTTTGAGCGGAAGGTCGTCGGGTCGAAGAGGGGTTTCTTTGAGGATCCAGTGATGCAAGGAATCAAGGCTCTTCCAAGGTCGAAGCATTTGGAGCACAAAACGCTTGCAGCCTCACAGCGTCAAACAATTGAAGGGTAAGGTTTGGCTACGTTGAGAGGAGCTGAAATCCAAGGACACTTGGGTCAAGCCATGGTGCACATCTAACCGAATCTCCGTCCAATCACTACGTTGTCTGAATTCATGTTTTAAAATGAGTCATTGGAAGTGTCGGGTCGGATAACAACTCACCTGCCGACCTTGAGCCCTACCGGTCCCGCGCTGTGCCAAACCACCTTGGACCACAGCTCGTCTCGTACGGAGCGCATCTGACGCCGGAAGTCGCAGAAGCACCACGCGACAAGGCCCAGCGTGGACAGACCAATGGCGACCTCAGGTCCCCAGGGCTAGAAGAAGCCCCACTTCCGTTTCGGTGGGTGGTCGTGGGTCCCCTGAACCGTCTAGTAACTAGCATGTGCCTGAAGCCCTGAAACTTCAGAAAAGGCCATTCCAATCTGTAAAAAAGACCTGCAAAAATGCGACTTCACCTGGGAAACCTGGAAATCATCCTCCGCCTCCCGCAGAACTCACTCGCGCGTGGCCTTTGCCCCTGGCCCTTGCCGCCCTTCCAGTTCTGCTCCAAGTGGCATTAGAGTCACTCTTGCGCAGAAGAGCTGCAAAGGTCAAGACCCCGCAGCAATGAAGCAGCGGCCAAGCGTCATCCATGGCCAGCGATGGGGTGGGAAATTGGACCCAATCATTTGGGAAAATGGGTGAGTGTGCCACTCGGTGAATGACTATAGGTGCACTATCAGTCACCATAATTTAATAGGTTCAGTTCCCTTTAATTGGTCGCCGGTGAATGACTATAGGTGCACTATCAGTCACGATAATTTAATAGGTTCAGTATGGCATTGTGGTGCTGTTGAGTTGTCTATGAGTTTGCTGTTTGACTAGTTCTGTCTTACACCGCAATGAGAGAAAGTACATAGGTAAAAATGGGTTCTGACATAGTGGTTTCAATGCTGGGCTTCGTGGATGGATCATGGATGGATCTTATATACTCTCCCTTTTCGTCATCCATGTTTTTCCGCTTTCTGGCCATCGGTTCGTCTCGTCTTTCGCTGGTTCTGAACATGGTTTGTTGGGTGTTTCGAGTACTGAAAACAAGGATGCCTCGTTTACTCGTTCGCTCGTTTACTTTCGCCCCTCAACCGCCAAGCTTGGCGGGTGTGTGTGTGTGTGTCATCTCCGCAAGGGGATAAGTGTAGTGAGAGGAGGGGGACTGTCCTGTCAAATCATTAGTATAAAGCTGGCTAATTGTATCTAATTGTAGTATAGACTCTTAAGGTGTGGTGGCTGCGCAGGGTGGGGTGGAGATGGTTGGGGTGGTGATGGATGTGGTAGCCAGTTGGGTGTGTGGATAACACTTTGCGCACTTCTGACACGCGGATGCTGGTCATGTTTCGATGTGTATGCAAGATAAGCCAACGGCTATATACTTGCCAGAAACTTTTGACAATGCGGAGGTTAAACTCAACGAGCAAGGCATCCCGGCAAGTGGGTATAGGCTGGGTGGAATCCTGAGGACCCTCATCCAATCTCATATGCACGCGTGCAAGCTACAATCGCGCACTTTTGGATTAGGATTTGGACTTCTTGGTGTGCAAGCGATCCACCGATGTAAACTGGCGCACCTGGATCTGGGAGAGGCGAGCAAAATCATCGAAACCTGGTGGAAAATCCTCGTTCCTGTGCCAACAGGTGTTTTGCACGAGAGGGGGGAAGGTGCTCAACTGACAAAATGCTGTGTCAGTATACAATCCATCAAGGCAAGGTAGGGGTGTTGACAAACGCACATGCCACGACAATCCGTTCAAACATGTATATACTGTATATCTATCTATCTAAATCACCATAAATTGAGAGTTCCTTCCCCCTACCCTCCCAAAGCATTGATCAACAACCTGAATATGCAGCAGGAGTAGCAAAACTCGTGTCACGCTCATGTGCAGGAAGTTGGCCCAGGAATTATTTTGATAGACCTGGCCACGATTGAGAGTCAAGTGAAAATCTGTATTGGCCTCAGTGCTCTTGCCGGTACATGAAATACATCAAACGTCATTTTTGCGTAGTTCTTCCTGGGGGCGGCGTTGATTCCATTTATCTAAAGTGGGCTTTGCCCTCCGGAGGGCAAGATGGTTGATTGCCTAACTCCTTCATCATTCAACATCTCATGAAAAAACTGCACGAGAACATGCCCAATCCATCGAGAACATGCTAGCTAACATGTCAAAAGATGTCAAAAGGTATCTCACCCCTGTGCCGTTCTGGCACTTGCTGTCCATCAGTATGCGTGGTTGTGGCGGTGTTTTCTGGGTCCGCGCAAATGAAGTCCAGCTTGTCCTACTACCGGACCTCCAAAAAAGAGTGCTGACATTCACACAAACTTCCTGCTACATCCTGCTGAATTCTTGAGTAGATCGGGGAAACCATGGCACAACACCGGGGTTACTTTCCCCCGACTCCGGCTCTGCATGGACACCGCCTTTCCTCCCCCGCGTTTCCCACTACTCGCGTCACCGTCAGGGTCTCAGTGTTCGTCCAACAGACCTCAGCGGCGAAGGTCGAAAAACCCAACGGTCGAGCGGATTGCTGGTCTACCAAGAGAGGTTGAGAGACCGCTTCACGTTCGGACCCTGGTCTGTGGTACATATGGGATGGGCGAGCGGATGGGCTGCTCAACCTCTCTTGGTAGATGCACCCCGTGACACCTCAGAGAGGTTAAGTGACCTTACTATAGGACCCGTTTTTGGGGGGTACCTATGGGATCGTAAACCTGGGCGATCCTTCAATCTCTGTTCGCAGTTGACCCATCAAGGCCAGTAATTGGGCAAGATATTATATATATATATGTTTATATTGATCCACAATGATCCCGCTATATACTTCGTGAACCGTGGCATCCCATCACCTTGCAACCAGCCCTCCTACCAAGGCTAATCCTCTCTGATGCTCGTTAGAGCAACATGTCCGAGTTACAGCACTTGCACAGCAACTGGGTTGTGATTCAACCCAGGCGAAGTCAGGTCAGTAGGTATAGATATAGGCGGTTTAGTAATACCTTGAACTTGAACCTGAGTGACCACTCTTTCGCGGTATAATTACCTAGGCCTGGTCAACAAGAAGGTGTCAACTCGGTTCCGGGCATGTATCCAGTGGTTTCAGAGTAGATTGCACAACCCCTACGATTCGTGGTTTATTTGACTCCCATGTGTAAAAACACATATTTGGGTTTGTGCCATGGTGGTTGGATAATAACAACAAATAAATAACATATAATACTCCTATACTACTCCTATAGCCTATAGCCCTATAGTATGTCAAAAAGGGACCTGATCCGCTCCGGACTGCGCCTTTTTCTCCGGGCTCGGTCTCATGGCTCTCTGATGACGCTGAAGTTTTTGCCGCCCCCCCCCAAAAAGGAAAACTCAATAAGCACCTCCCCCCCAAACAGAATGGTCATAACAAATCACCTCCCAAACCAGTCCCTCAACCCCAGTTCACTCCCTTTCACCCGGGTTCACCACATGCTCTCCTCCCGCATGCTGGGCTCGAGGTCTGCTCCCTGCAAACCCAGTGACATGGATCAGGCCCTCAAAGCCTCGCTGTCGGATCTTTTGCCTCAAAATGGGAACGGGGAAAAGCTGGTTTTTGCTGCGAAAAGACTGTCTGTAGATCACTGCGGATGTAGTTTTTTGAAAGCTACAGGCTACAGGTGTTCTCTTCCAATCTGAGTCTGAAATCTCTCTACAGTGCTCTACAGGTTCCGCTCACTCAATCGAAATTCAATCGTGACAGACGGCTTCGCAATGCTTAGCATGTTGAATCGCCCATGGTCTTCTTGGGTCCACCCCACTGTACCAATCGACATCTGACTCATCCGAATTGGTCCAAATCACTTGATGTTGGTCGCCAGCTCCTCCCAGCAGTCCCAGTGTACTTCTTTCATCAATTTCACCTAGGTCAGTGCGTGCCCCAATCTGCAATGACTTCAGAGCACATAATTAGGTGGCTTCAAACAATTGTTCTACTGGTTGCTCCCCAGTAAAGAGGAAAAGGTCGAATACCCAGGCCTGTGCCATCACCCAGCCCGACCTCATACCGTACTCATACCTTGAACCCACCCGAAATCGCCATTGGCTGATCATTCTCCGTATTTGGTGGATTGGCAGATTATTCTCCACCGGACCGCAAAAAAAAAAACATCAAAGACATCGCGCTCTTTGTCAAGCATTTCCCACTGACCCAAGTACAACCAAATAGGTCCCCTGTCAAAAGATGGCGGATTAACATACAAGGTATTGGAAGCCGCTGGTTCGGGTATCTATGATGGCTCAGGCAGTGGGATGGATGGGATGGGTTCCCTTCAAAATGTTTGGTCCATAAACACTTCACACAAAGTCTCATGAACATCCCTACTCTCTCTCTCTCTATAAGGAACTCAAGTAAAAAAGCGACTGAGTGGCTGTGGCGAGCTCGTTGGTGTTCTCTTGAAGAAACCGCCTGATGTTGACCCGAAAGGGTCCAAATCGCTGATGTTGACCCGATCAGAGCACCACCATCCGGAGGAACATCACACCTTACGACGCCTCCATGATGGAAATCCAGTGGCGCCAGTGGGTTGAGGGTGAAGACGAAATCCAGTTGGCGCCAAACGTCAACATCTCTTGCATAGGAATTCACACTAATGGTGAATCAGGTCTGCTGAAGCAAACACATCACATTATATAATTCTTAATTGCCAATCTTCGCATTCAATGAACCTTGTAATTGCCCAATTGCTGGGTCATCTACCAATTGTTTAATTAATTTGCTTCCTACTAGCAGCAAAACACCCTACACCTACACCATTGAAACA